ATACCAGATTATAAGGGTATTGCGTAATGACCGTTACATTGTTGAAAAGATTGGTTACCACGAAGGCCCAAGGCAAACGTCAGCATCAGCTGATCATATAAAACCCTGGTCCCAAGATAATGAAGATGATGTACAAGATAAAGCAGTGGGTCGTGAATTGTATGACAGCGACGATTCCGACGTCAACGAGGACATCTGAGGGCAGATGTCTCACAGGATGGCCGAATGTGGTATCGGGAGCGTGTAGAATTAATTAATAAAGTCAAGTTAGGTATTAATAGAAAATAAGATATTACTTAAAATGTTATGAATAAAGACAGCGAATGCTCGAACAACGATTTATAGTTTTATGGTACTCTACCCATGGGGGTAGCAGGTAGCGCGTTTGGAAGTTGGTGATTGATGTTAAGGAAGTCGTTGTTCAGATTGAAAAGAAGAAGGTTGTTCGAGGATCGCGTATGTTTTCTTGTAAATATCAGCTCTGTATATACTTGTAAATAAATAAGAAAAAAGGACACTACGATTTTCAGTAACGTTTATGCTATCAAATTAAATCCCTACATATATATGTCATTTACTCAACTTATACTAATGTATTTATTAAATCCCTCCCTTACATTAACTAAACTGGAAAACCCTTTCTTTTTTTAATTATATTTTTAAGTAGGATCAGACCGTCGCCACTCCCACTTAATATCTCCTTACATGCATCTAAATCTTTACTTTCCTCACATCCTCCCAGTACATGCAAGATTGTTTCATCTCCCCTTTCACATATCCTACATATCATTTCTTCTTCTTTCATCCAATATTTACATTTTCTACATTCATTTCCTACTCTAAACCTTGCAAATACTTCCACATCCTTCATTCTATTCAAATAGTCTGGAAAAAAGTCTCCCTGCCAATGCTCCCATAGCATCAGCTTTAGACATTCCACATATCTCGACTTCTTAGGTCTTCTGCCCTTATCATCTCTTTACATCTTATTCTTACCATTTCCTCAACACTTACTCCCATTCGACCCCATTCATTCAGTTGCTCCTGACTCAAATTTAAATATTCTAATGCCCCATCTCTTTCTTTATCATACCTGGTTTTTATTCCAACATTTAAAATTCTTTTTCTCCATAATTCTTTCTTCTTTTATTTCATATTGTACCACCCTTTTTCTGGTTTCCTCTACCATTTTCCCACATTTTAATTCCCTCCGTACAACATAACCTGGCGTATATCTATCCAAACGCAACACCCACTTTATATATTTCTTGTAAACGTTTTCCACCTGTTTTTGTTCCTTCCACCCCCATACTTCCACCCCATAAAAAGCTAAACTTCCGACCGTCGAATCAAACAACCTTTTTCTTCTAATCCAATCGTTCCTGCATAATCCATGCCCTATTCCCCATATACTTCCTACCAAGGCGTTTGCTTTCGCTAGTTGCGTATCTATATGTATTTAATCATTGCTGTTCTCTCCAATAACATATAATGTTGGTCTATATTTTTCAAATATAAACCTTGTTTTAACGTATCACGTCACATATTTTTTTTTTTTAGATTAATATATGTATACGTGTATATATGGCTCTTTAAATCGGCAAATTTATTTGTTTTTTCACAAAATTCATTTTATAGCTTATATTTCTATTTAATACTCTCTGACTGAGCACTATATTGTATTTTACTTTATTTTAGGTAGTCTGAAAGTAACTATAGTCGTTTAAACCGCCTGAAAAAAAAATAGTTTATAGCGCGCCATTATTGAGAGAGATATAATATTAACCTGTAATAAAAGATTTTATTTTCATTTATCTTTAACTATGACTTCTATAAAAACAATTCAAATGTATTTTTTTACATTTGCGGAACAATACACAATAGTTAAGCAAAGATTGAATATAACAGACTTTGTAAAAAATGGTTATTAAGATTACTTCAGAATGAAGTTGTGTTACCAAGATAAACACTGGTTTACGATAAAATATTCCGGTTATGTGTTGAAGTGTTATGGTAAATCAAAATCATTGTTCTGTCCAAATTACAATGCAATTGGAAGTCGGAGTGAAAAATGTCATCAATACGAGTTTGAAAGAAGAAAGTATTGCTTCCACCACTTTACATTAAACTTGGTTTGATCAAAGAGTTTGTAAAGGCATTTCGACTTGACCAACCATGATTATTTCATGTTTAGATATCGAGGTCATGATCTATATAGGTTTTAAGCATATAAAAAAATCGTAAGGACACAAAAAATTAGTTTTTAAGAAAAAAGAATTAAAAAATCACGATTTTTTTTGTTTATTTTCGATTTTTCCATTGTTTAATATTGTTGCAGGTATTTTTAACGAACAATATCGAAAAGAGCATCGTTAAAAACATAGAACCATTGGTTATCGAATATTTTTTCGTAGCACTCATTACGTGGCAAGGGTTCAAATGGAAATGTATTCTCTGAGCATTTATGGGTTAATGTGACGTGGTATACACCATATGAATATCGTTTTCTATTACTTTTAAGACAATTACGACAAATATTAACAATTTAAGAAAAAAACTTTTCAAAAAAAAA